AATGAAGTGCAGCAAGCAATGGGCCAATGCTCATGGAATTCACTGGTTCCCCATCATCCTGAAGCATCTAGCTTGATGGAATGATGGAATGGCCTCCTAAAGACACAATTATGGAGCCAGCTAGGTGGCAATACTTCACAGGGTTGGCGCAATGTTCTCTAGGAGGCTCTAAACAAGCATCCAATTATGGTGCTCTTTCTCCTATAACCAGAATTCACGGTTCCAGGAATCAAGGCCTGGAAGTGGGAGTGGCACCACTCACTATTACCCCAAGTGACCCACTCAAAAAATTTTTGCTTCCTGACCCTACAACCCTATATTCTGTGGGTCTAGAGGTCTTAGTTCCAAATGGAGGAATGCTCCCACCTGGAGACACAACACAGATTCCGTTAAACTGTAAGCTAAGAATGCCACTCAGCCACTTTGGGCTCTTCGTGCCACTGGATCAACAGGCAAAGAAGGAAGTTACCATATTGGCTGGTGTGTGATCCTGACTACCAAGGGGAAATAAGAATGGTGTTTCATAATGGAAGTAAAGAAGATTATGTCTGGAATACAGGAGATCCCTTAGGGCATTTTTAGTACTACCATGCCCTGTGATTAAAGTCAATGGAAAAAGAGCAATGCAATTCCATCATGACCGCTAAGGGCCCAGACCCTTTAGGAATGAAGGTTTGGGTCACCCCACCAGGTTAAGAACCATGACCAGCTGAGGTACTTGCTGAGGGTAAAGGAATACAGAATGGGTGGTTGAAGAAGGTAGTTCTAAATACCAGTTATGAGTATGTGACCAGTTGCAGAAATGAGGACTGTAATTGTTATGAATATTTCTTCTTTGTATGTGTGCATCAAATATTTTTGTTGTCTTCACTTATAAAATATAAAATGTAAATGGGGCTAGTGCATTTTAGGTTGTACACATGTTAGTTGTATTATGTGAGGCACAAGCATGATTTTGTAATTGTCTTTATTTAGAGATTGTGTATGTTTAAGGAGATGTGTACAGGTGCCAAATTGACAAGGGGTGGACTGTGATGGTTAAGGTTGTGTGTCAGCTTGGCTGGGCCATGATTCTCAGCGGTTTAACAGTTATGTAATGAAGTAATTTGGCAGTTATGTAACGATGCAATCTGGCAGTTATATAATGATATAATCATCCTCTATGATGTGATCTGAGGTGATCAGCCAATCAGTTGTAAGGGGAGTTTTCTCGGGGGTGGTCCTGCATCCAATATATATATTGATGTTCTGGCAAAGCTCACTTCCTGGCTCTGAATCCTGCATCCAGCTCATCATCATCTGACCTCTGTTTCTTGGGACTTGAGCCAGCGGCCTGCCATATTGCCTGCTGATCTTGGGATGGGTCAGCCTCCACAGGCTGTGGGCCAGCAACCTGCTGTCTTACCTGCCAATCTTCAATTCATCAGCCTCTGCAGCCCGTGAACCAGTGGCCTTACATCTGACCTGCCAATCTTGGGTTTGTCAAACTCTATAGCTACATGAGTCAGAAGCCTCCAGACTGACGTCTGACCCACGGACTTGGGACTTGTCAGCCTCTATAACCATGTGAACCATTTCCTTAATATATAGACATATACACACAGACACACATTTTTTTTTTTTTTTTTGCTTCTCTAGAGAACCCAGCCTATGACATTATCTATCACACAACTTTTGCCAATTCAACTTTTTACAGGCGTACAACTTATGGACAGCTATTACAATAATCAGCTGTGTAACCCTACCCTTATTCAATGTGATATTTTTTCATCATTGTTAACCCTACCCCCTTTCCCTCTCTCTCCTGCCCCTGGCAACCACTAGTAAATTTTGGTCTCTATACAATTGTCCACCAGTGACTTTTTACTGCCTCATGTGACTTGTGTGATGATTATATCACACTTCAACAATCTTCCTTCATTGTCTTTTATAATCATGAATTCATCATCAACATGTTTTCTCAGAAGTTATTTTTTCTCTATCTTCTTCTTTATAACCTCCTAATTTCAGTCCATGGAAGTGACCAGAGAATCCTTAAGATCTAATTCTACCCCACTACCTTTCCCCAAATCATCTTAATGTGGTGTTCTGGGAAATTTATGGAGTGCATCCTTGTCAAGGAAAGGTGGCATTTCTGTAAGGTAGCTCATTTCTCTTATTCATACCTCAGAATAATACCTTTACTCAAAGCTTAAAGAAGAAAAAATTTCACATTGTTCAACTTCATGGCTTAAGCAGGTCAACTCAAGGTATGGGAAAACCATGTCTTACCTACCAGGTCATTAGGAGAAACCTGAGGTGGTCACTCTGAACAAACTTGCCTATAAGAAGGTTAAAGAATGAAGTTCTACCCCTAAAGTTGTTCCCATGTCTTATGTGTGCCCTCTTTATAAGAAATTCTATCTTTGAGAACTTTGTTGTGAACAGTATTCCTCCTCCTAGGTCTGTTCATAATCATTACCATGAGATAGTGGGTCTAAGAATCTTGTAAGAAAAACCCTGTGGTCTCTAAGAAAGCTTCTAGCTCCTATTCAGAGCCTCCTTGCCCAGTCCCAGGTAATATTCTTTATCCCAAGTAAAGGTAGCCAGGCACCTCCAAACACCTCAGAAAATGCATCTTCTGCTCTCAGAGCTTTGGGAGGGGGTATTTTATAATTTAATTTTTTTTAAATATTATGTTTTTGAATAGATAATACATTCACATGGTTCAAAAGTTAATATGGCATAAAAGGTATACATTCAGAAGCTATATTTCATTCCCTTTCCCCATCCACCCCACTAGCCATGCTGCACCATATAGGTTCGTACCTGCACTGGTTTCTTAAGGATTCTTCCAATGTTTTAATGCATATACAAGCATAGATTAATCCATATTCTTATTTTCCTACATTTCTTATACAAAAGGCAATATACTGTATACATGTTCTGCACCTTGCTTTTTTCATATAAAAATATATCTTGGAGATCACTCCATATCAGTACACAGAAGAATTTATTAAATGATATAGAGTATCCTTATAGACGGACACTGAGGAAGTTTCCTAACTCTTATCATTACAAATAATGCTGCCATGAAAAATGTGTCTATATGTCCTTTTGTACATGTACAAGTATATCTGTAGAATAAAGTTCTAGAAGCAGAACTTCATAGGATTTTGGTTAAATACCTCTGTTTTAACACTTATCAAAGAATATCCTATATGTTATTTAGTGCTGTCTGACTTTCTCCTCCAACTTTATGAGTTTCTGGAAGGAATGGACTGTGTTTCCTTCGTCTTTGCATCCACAGCCCCCAGCACAGTGCCTAGCATGTAAATGCTGAGTACAAACTAAACTTCCCAGTGTTATATAACCTTGAGAACATTAAAGTAACCCCTCAACTTATAAGGCTGAGATCTAGGGTATAGATTAAGAGGCACTTCTGAATTTCTATTTAAAGATGAAAATGGGGCTCATAAAATGCCACACCAGATACAAGTATTGAATAAGGAGTGGAAGTTTCAAGGATGAGGACATCTCTTCAAATCCAGGGACTGGGTCAATGTCAGGTAAGTTTTCTGGATCAATCACACATAGAGAAGCTGACTGGTAAAATGGAGAGGACATCCAGAGAACTCCTGCCACCAGTGACTGAGAACAGCACTCCATTAGAAGCCTGACCCAAGCTATGGAGTAAAGATAAATGCACACCTGGATTAGAATCTGAGCAGAAAGGATGTGTGTGTGTGTGTGTGTGCGTGTGTGTGTGTGTGATGACTCCAATTCAGTTTCATTTCCATTCTCATGACAGCCTGTGTGAGTGGTTATTGATTTTGCTCTGCAGCCCCCACACTTGTCAGGAAGACTGCTAGCAAGGAGCCTTGGTGAAAACTCAGACCCAGTCCCAAACTGACAGCAGCCGTACTTACCCGGCTATTTCCTCACCATCCTAGTGCTGCCCTCAGCCACTGCTGCTCTCCTAATGCATAGGCTTATTCCCTCTCTCCACTAGGTCATCACTAACAATCTCAGCTGCCAAGTTTGAAGAGATGGAATGGCAGACAGATGTGTCACACACAAAACTCATCCTAGCCCGTGTCAAAATCCCTGCCTCTCACAAACTGTTGGTGAAAAGCAAATTGGTACAACCTCTTTGGTTTTATCAATAATGTGGCAATACTATTCAAAAATTTTGAATGTATTTTTATCTAGCAATTCCACTTCAAGGAACTGATTCTACAAATACACTTATGAAAGTACACAAAAAGTATCATATGCTCTCTTAAGTGTTATTTGGAAAATCAAAAAGAATTAAACAAAATAACCTAAATATCCATCTATAGGGGAATGGTAATACCCATAATACCGTATTATATAATATTCTGTGCAGCTATGGGAAGAATCAGGTAGACCCATATATAGGGCATGAAACAATAGTCAAAACACATTGTTAAGTGAACAAACGCAAGTTACATGGAATGGCAAATATATTGTATGTTCTTATTTGTGATTTAAAAAAAAATATGCTGGCATATGAATAAAAATGTCTGTAAAAATGCACAATAAACTATTACTAATGGTTACCACTGGGGAATAGGATTGAGGGGGCTGGAGGAAAAGAAAAGTACTGGGGAAAAATAGCTATGGTTGACTTTAATTGATGCTCGTAGAACTGACTTCAGCACTGTGGGCATATACTCAAAACTCAAGTCATACAAGCAGCTTAATAAAATGTTCTGTGATTGCAAAAATCAATGTGTTGAACTTTCAGGCCATTGGTGAAGTTGTCAATAATTTTAGTATCACTCTTGATCACCCACAAACTTCCACTTGTCACTTACCGGAACACATCTTTTAAGGAATGCTTTTTACTTCTAATATTGTATTTCCTGCAAGAAGTCCCATGCAATGGACTTAAAAATCATATTTTACAAGGTTAGGGAGAAGTGAAGAAGAAAAGACAAGCTCATATTATGCAAATGTCCTGCTGCTAAAGAAGAGACTGCTCAGGGGAGACTTACAGAAAGTGGTAGATTCTGACATTAGGTTTTCAAATCCTGATAATTGGAGCCATTCAGTCAGTCTCTTTGCCTGATCCTGAAGAAAGAGAACCTGAGACAAGAAGCAAGAAGATGAGAAAACGTCAAGGCAAAGGAAAAAAAAAAACAAAACTTGGAGATACAATTGGCAATAGACTCAATATAGGTCCTATTGAGGTAAGGCTTTAATCAAAAAGCTCAACGGTAGCAAAATTTCATTTGGAACATTAATTTCCAGGTCACCTACCTTTTCTAAGACTTCCAGTTGCTAAGATGATGAAGTCCTTGGTTACTAATCTAACAAAGTTACCCAGTGTAAAAGAACTTTTAGCAATTTGCCTTTCTTTCTGCAATGCAGGAAAGAAAAAAAGAAAAAGTGGTGGAGTGTGCAATGTTAATTTAAATGCCCTGTTGTATTAGTGCTCTTCTCTCTACACAGTATTTTGTGTGTGAAAATGTAGAAAAACCTACATTTTCTTGGTAGTAAAATTGTAAGTTTATACTAGAAGTTAATAGACATGTCAAGCAAATAAAAAAATTCATCTGCTGTGATTATAACCAGGTCTAGTTTATGGAAGCAATCCCAGCCTGAAATTCATAAACAGCCTTAAGAGATTTTCAGACCCAAAGCATACTTTTGAGACTAGCCCCAAAAACTTTGAGTGCTTCCACTTTACAACTAAATTCTAAAACACAATAATCATTGGAATAAGAAAAAGAGGAGGGAGTGTTAAAAAAAAAAAAACAGCAAATGAGGGGAAAACAACAGAAATTAAGAAAAAATAAAGAAAATAGCGTTATTGCAATAGTCATAGGCTTGCCTGCCTAATTTAATTCACTTTAACCAGTTTATCTCCGATAATTATTCTAAAAAGAATGTAACTTTATAAGAAAATTTTGCTTCTATGGAATTAATAGGTCCTAAGAATGTTTGATAATTTAATTTCAAATATATGTGTTGGTGTCATTTGGGATTTTGAGGCACCAGCCCTAGTATTTAGATCTGGGTATCCAGAAATGTGTTCTCTTGACAACTAAGGTAAAGTTAAAATGCACATTGACCCTAGTTACTGGAATGGTATGGATAAAAGTATATTTTTGGACTCATTTCTCCAGATAATGTTCCATGAAGACCCTGCCAAAGTCCACTGGGTTAAGATACCTCTTCAAATGCATTTTTGTACGGAATTGTTTTCTCCTTTGAACCATCAATCAACTTTATTTTGTGCAGTTTCTCCAATACAAGCCTATTTGCCCCTCGTGTCTTAGCATCGTAGCATCCTCTCATCAGAATATTGGTTAGGTTCCCTAGTGTGAATCACTTATCCAGTTGCTGGCCTGATTACTAACATGTTTTTGAGATTTGTGAAATGTGGCAGATAAACAGCTTTATGCTGTGTGCAGCTTGGAGAGCAGCCAATGTCTGCCTGCCTATACAGTATATTTATTCTCCTTCCTCAAATATCTCTTCCATACAGAGAAGCTGTATTTTAAGACTAAAATCAGTGTAGAATGCAATCCAGTAATGTCGCTGCAGAAAACAGCAGGTGCTCATCCACTCATTTGCAGTGATTCTTGCAGTGAAGAAAGTGAATCAATGATTCACCCAATGGACAAAGAACTATCACCGCGAATATTTGGAAAACTCTGATGTGGAAAAGAAATATTCCCATCTAAAGATGCGCTCTGATTTTAGAAAGCAAAACCTCCTGCAAGAAAATCTGAAATGTCGTTGAAGTGCTCTGGTTGTACCTGCAGTAAGCAACGGCATGTTCCCTCTCTCCCTGCTTCCTCTGTTTTATTGCTTTTGTGTTGTACTTCTAAAATAAATATCAATAAATCATTGCAGTTAGATACTCTAATATAGACAGAAATGTACTTGACTCCCTACAGTCATTACAATTGGAGGGGACTCTGATTAGGATGCTTTACTTAATTAAGTGATATCGTCTAAAGAGAGTTCTTCCCTCCATTTTCTGTTTAACAGTCTTATAAAACACCAACAGAGGAAATTCATTCTGTTGTTTGCTTTCCTTATTGTAAACGGTTTCTTCTCATTCATATTTTACAGAAGAAGATGTCGTGTTAATGAAACGGCTAATAAGCCAAAGACTGGTTCAGCTACACACAGGGCATTGTTCAAATCAGCCCCAGCTACACTACACTGGGAACATTTTCTTCCCTCGTCCCAAGAATGTATTTTTAATTTTAATTTTATAACATCAGTAACTTGAAAGTAAAGCTGGTGCAAAAGAATTTTTTTTTCTGAGAAATTGTACTTAATCTAGTGTGTGGATAGTTCAGCAGAGACCTTAAAAATCTGTTTCTTTGAGAATATAGAAAAAATGGGCAAAGAATAAGCAATCCTTATGCATAAGATGTTACTTGTGAGGCACTTTGATTTTACTGAAAGAAGTCATTACATTTGGATTGCCAATACAAATATGATTATATATGTTTTCTAAATAAAATGTTATTATGTTGCAACTGAACTCATCCATTTATTGTTTGTTTACCTAATGCTCAAACGCATGTTTTATTCATAAATGTCTGGGAGAAAAAAATTTTGCTTGATAATCACACCAAGCATATTTAACAAAAGCGATTCTCCTTTTATTAGTGAACAAGTTTAAGCAGAATGATTTCATTTTTTTTTTTTTTCCATTTAGTTAATTCAGACTTGCAGGATCCTCAGCATACAGCTTTTGTTTCTCCCGCTGCTGCCTTTTATGCCTTTAATGTATGCATGCCTATCCACTGATGGGAAAATATCATTTCCTGCAACTCTTCCTTTTTCCTTCTTGACTGTTCTCTCAGTTTGATTTCTGATTTTGGTTAGTTTTCACTACTTAGTTCTGTCAAATTACTTTATGTGTAAGACAAATCAGTTGAAGCCAACTAAATAATTCACTATCTTGTTGCAGATTTTAAACTCTTTCATTAGAGTAAATCTGAATTCTAAGCAAATTTCCTCATTCCTTTTAAAATAAATAAAATAGAAGTATATTAATGTTTTTAAAGAAATGCAAAAAATTGTCTAGCATAGAAAGTAGTCAAGATAGTGAACATTTATTAATACCTATAAAGTTGTATTCATTACCAAATTAACAAAATCTTCGCAACTTTAGCAAAAAAAAAGATCATATGTTGAATTTAGCAACTGTATTTCTATTAAAAAGCAACATTAAGTATAAACACTCTTAGATGAATTCAGCTAGCTTAAAATAGGTGTCTTTTACCTGAACACAATATTCGTCTAAAAGCATTTAACAATCTGTAAAATTTAAATAGAAATGTCTTAAGATATAAAAATGAATATTAATTAATCACATGCAAGAGGCTTTAAACTAATTGCCAGCTTTATAACGAACACTTTATAACATTGCTAAGAACCTGAATTGTTTTAATTCTGAACCTATGTAGCGAGGCCATTTATCAAGCAAAATAATAATAGTAATAATAATAAATCATATTTGCCAAATGAGTTAATAACGTTATATGACTCTAAGGTTTGCTTTTGTTCTGTTTTAGCTGCATACCACTAGTCCTGCATAAAGTCACCACATGGAAACATTCTGACATTACATCATTTTTTCTTAACTCCCAAGCATTTCCATCAGCTCTACGTAGAAAAATAACGTGCCCCCGGCCATGTTACCCAAAGTGAATTCCAGAAGTTGCTTTTATTTTTTTTAAAAGATGCTGTCTATTAAAAAACTAATCTTAAATTAATTCTACAGTTCATTACATTTTAAGGTTTTTTTTTCTAATTTTATAACCTAGATAATTTTTACAACCAAAGCCTAGTTAGCCTACTTTCTGTTAAACTTCTTCACAGATTTTCTTTAAGCTCTTCATTTAAAAGGGTGCCTTTGTCCTGAAACTAAACATATGACATTCCTACCCCCTAAGAAATTTTTTGAGGAATAGAGTAACAAGTAAATTCTGATAGAAGTTTTATTCCATTCTCCTATTTTGTTAATTTCTTTTAAAATAATTTTTAAAAATAAAGAATGTGTCTTTTTTTCTTAAGACTTTAAGATGAATGAGAATTCCATCTAATGGAGTGCCACTGAAGTCAGAGTGGCCACTGGATGATTATCTGGCAGAAGAATATGAGTCTTATGTCACCCAAACCAATTATTTTTATCAAATGACTTCTCTATCTAAATTGTTTACTTTAAGAAATAATGATTTTAGAGTCAAACAGTTATTATAATATGCATTTTTAGACCATTACTCTTCCACTTCTTATAATCAAATTAGATGCAACAGAGCCAATTTTAGGCTCTTAGTTGTTGAAACTGCTTTTCACCGGACCAGCGAGCATTTGTAGCTAATGCTCCAATCCTGACAGGCAAATACATTGGATTTTTAAAATATTAAATGCAAATATGACTATGCCTTTAACATAGTAAGAAAAAAATTCTCTAGTAAGGAGAAAATTTTACATCCTAATATAGTCATTTTCTGTGTTTCTAAGACCAGTGTTCTAAAGCATTTGTCATCAAAGCTGTCTCTTTAAAGCAATAGGAAAGAGCAAATTTCCTAAAGAGAACCTAGCTAAGAGACACCCTTCAATGAAGTAGATCAATTTGTGCAAAGAAGAGGACAAAGAGAAAAGTTTAGTATGAGAGAAGATAGTTCCTTGAAACTATTTTTTTTTTCTTTCTACAGAAACGTATAATGATTCTCAAGAAAGAAAATAATTAGCAATAAGCCTTCTTAGGGGGTAGAGGGAGAAAAAAACATCTTGTGTGATATGGCAGGAGGAACCACAGAGATCAAAACACAACAAACAAACAAAATCATAAAAACCAGGCTGTATTTGTTTTCTTCTAAAGCACATTTCCTTTTGGCAAGAGATCACTGCAGAGTCCGATGAGTAAATTACTGCCGTCAACCAGTTGTACTTTATAAATATAGGAGAATGGATCATCAACTCATTTGATAGGCAATCCTCTTATTAATAGCACCAGTTTCATATCATTTTTGCCTCTAAAAAGTGCAGCTATTAGGCAGACATAAATTAGGGGAAGAACTTATAAGCCATTGTCAAGATTTATATATTTCTGATTCAAGTTAAATATGTTTTTATCAAAGCATCTTACGAATCTGTTTGAAGCACCTCAGTGGACCAGAGTGCTCTGTCTCTAATTGAGAATACAACATTAACAAAGAATCTATCCCCGCCAAAAAATAGGATGCAGAAAAAAAGGAAAACAATGCTGTTTATAACGAAGAGATTATTAACTTCACAAAAATATGGCAAAAGCAAAATTTTTGCCCTAGTAGAACAATTCCTGATAAAATATAAATGAAACTAAAGCAAAACTTCTTGGCAGGACCAGGCATTAAATGAATTGTAGAAATAGAATACTGTTAAGTATGGCATATTCTTTTAAAACATGTATGATACAGATACAGATGTTAATGTAGTTAACTTGGTTCAGTATTATGTTAATAGGAAAATAGCGATAATGTATCACTTCATTATTTGTAATGTATCAATTAATCATTCATAATATAATGGCTCAACAGTCCAGGAAAAGCCCAGTTATCTTTCACAAGCACAATAACCATATATAAATTGTATAATAATACAAATTCATGCTCTAAATTTTATTTTTAAAATTACTAATTTTTCTCCTTCAAAATTAAAATTAAAAAATATATTAAGCTTAAATCCCCCTAAAACACAAATAGAACAACATTTACGGACTTTCAAGGTCTTATTTTTATAACAATGACTGAAAAATAATTATTGGAAAGAGTAATTAAAATACAACATATATTTTAATGACTCAAATGTTTATTTCCAGTTCTTTTTGCATCAAGACTGTGGGAAATTTGTATTATGAAGATCAGATGGTGCACTGATGTGAGAAATGTTGCAAAGCATCCTGTTGATTGGTTCTAATTAACTGCAATGCTCTTGTGTTCTCAGTTTTAGCCGGCACACACTACACAATGCCTTTTATTTTGCTTTGAATGGATTTTTACTTAAAAACAGCTGATCTCAATATACACAGCATTCTGGGCTTTTTTCTTTTTTTTTCCCCCTCTTAAAATATTCCTGCAATATTTTCTTTTCAATTTTAAAAAATAAATTTGAAAATATTTCTAAAGCATAAAGTATAATCAGTTAAATTAACAGCACTCATGCAGTCTTTCACATGTATCTTGCATGTTCTATAGTACATGATTACATTCTCAAACCACATTTCAATTCCTCTTTAAAAGTTATACATCTGAGAATGGTGTACACAGGAAATTCTGAAAAGCAATTTAGAGCACGCTGCTAATTTTATACTTTTAAAAAACATTTGTAATCAGACTACTAAATAGAGCAGCACACCACAGAGCTAACACATGAAACCATGAGCAAGAGATGGGAAGGATTCCAAAATTTAAAGTATTAAATAAAATTCTTTGCACTCACCTTTTTCTGATGATTTAAGCTCACCCAGCCCTGACAGAGAGAAGTCATGAATTTTCATCAACTTCACACATGTCACACATTTAAAAACATTTCAATTGGCCCTGGAAGCGCGCTGTGAGTCTCTGAAGCACAGTAAGAGTGTTGTGATGCTTTGAGGGTACAAACCCTAAGAACCAGCAGAGTTCTACAAGTTACATTACTAATGTAAACAGACCCGTAAGTGAAAAGCAAAGAGCATTAAGAAATAGGAATTTTCCAAGGAAATGCAGAATTTAAAATAAGGAGGGTATTTCTTTTTAGAAGCAATGCACTTTCTGTAATTTTAAGGGCTACAATTTTATCCCTGCGCTAGCTTTCTGGGAACACACAATAATTTGACCTCAGAAACAAAATCATTTTGAACAGGAAAATCCATAAGCTAAAAATTAGAGCTAAGTCATTAATTTAGCCTAGTAGACCCTGAAAGTAAGTTAGTTTCTTTTTGTTCATATGAGGATAAAACGTGGCTTATGTGAGCAGAAAGGCCACTATTTCAGAACAGCTACTGACATTCTACTAGCTATTTCCAGCAGGGAGGCTAAGTGTATTAAGTGTAGTGCAATAAAAACAGAATTTTACCCTAAATAACACATCTGGGAATTATCTTCCAAAGACTGCGTTCCTTTTAAAATTGTGAAGTGTCATTAAAATGAGGTAAGAAATAAATATTAGGTGACACTAATGAGTGTAAACAAAGCCAAAAGTCATAGAATGGTATAAATAAAGTGGCATTACAAATAATTTACACTGTGCCTCTCACTTTACAACTGAGGAAACTGAGGCTCAAAGAGGTAAAGTGACTTCCCCAAGGTCTTACAAAGACTAAATTGTAAAGCTAAACGACAGGCAAGGCTCTTCACTCTTCATAGCACTCTTTCTACAACACTACACAGTCTTTCAACACAGTAACAAAAATGACAGCTCAGGTGGATGTCAATCAGATAATGAAGTAAAACAATGAGCAATGTCCTCTCGACCCTAAGAGGTATGTGCAGGGCATACAAAATTAATCAGCCGCCTTTAACCTAGTGTGAAGAGTCCTTTCCCTCAAAAGATGCCTTTTTTGGAAAATATCTTTAGATCTTCATTCTTGCTAGTTTGAGGATTTGTTTCCAGTTAATGAAAACCGGCTCTATAACACTCTTAGACCAAGCAGGCAGTTAAAAACAATCACTATACAATCTCACTGTCTCTAGTCTGTCCCACTTCCAATCTATTCTCCACTCTGCTGACCACATGGCCTTTCTGAAATGCACATTCGATTATGTTCAAAAATTTTCTCTGGCTTTTCAACTCCTACAAGATAAGATTTATATTCTTTCGTCTGCATTCAAGGGTCTTCAGAATATTTAGTCCATACTACCCCTCCGTTTTTATGCCCAGCACTCTGCTCACACTTTATGGTCCAGCTATACAAACTAGGTATGATTCCCTAAACCTGATGTGCCTTCTCATTACTTCTGGGCCTTTGTGCATGCTGTTTCCTCCACCTAGAATGCCTGATAAAACCTGTTCCTCCTTCAAAAGTGAGCTCAAGCATCACCTTTTCTCCACCTACCAGACACAGATGCTTCTTCTCCTGGGATTCCCCTGCATCTTGCACAGACCTTGCTTTCCGGCACTTACTGCATTGAACAATTTTCTGTTTACATGCCTGTCTCCCCATGGGCGTTGTTTTTGAGGTCAGAGACATCTTTTTCTCCATGCCTAGCACATTGCCTGGTGTAAGCACTCAGTGAGTGTTTACTGATTGAATAAATGAGGGAATAAATAAACCACCATATTTTTTCTTATCACAAAATCTTTAAGCCTTAGGGTGACATCCTGTAGTTCTTCTGTATAATGTTTAAATTGGACACACATTGACAACAGTATATTTGCACCAACCGCTGTTATTGGTTTCTATCAACCGTTTTCTCCAAGTACAATTTTTAAAGCACTCTCTCACTATAGGGAGTTGATTTTGGCATGAGGTTGGTGGCGAAGTACCAACTCCTATCTACATGTTAATGAAGAGAAGAATTCTTGGGTAAACAGTGGGTTGTTGTTGTTTCAGACATTGGTAAAGAGCATTCCCTTTTAGGGTTCCATTTCTTATTAGGAACACAAGTTGAAGAATTACCTACAGCCCACTAATGTTGTAAATGGCTCAAGATTATGTACATGTTAAGAGAAGAATATACTGACAAATTATTTTTAATTTTTTTTATATAAAAAGAAAGTGGTATCAGTATCTTCATGCCAAGTTAATACTTTAAAAGAGAGTTTTCAGTTTTAAACAAATGAAATTTAAATTTAAGACTACTTGTTATTTGGGGCTCTATTGCTGTCTTCTTCCAGTCTTTCCTATCTGAGCAGACACTGTTGAGGTGCAAATTTATTCTAGGGAGCCTGCTCAGCGGAAGCCAGGGATGCCCTTGGTACCTAAGCACATATTTTCCACTTGAAATAAGACCCTCATACTTATTGATAAAAGGCTTCACATTCAAAATGTAAAGGAATTTGTCAGTATATTCTTCCTTAATATGAACATAACCTTAAGCCAGGCCCCCAAGTCAGTGACATGACCAGTGAAGAGATGTTCTGGTAGTTATTTGGGCCACTATAAGGCACACTGTATCCCAACTCTGAAGCCACTTCCACTCTGTTGATTCTCCCATGACTCCACTCCATCGGCTCCATTGTGCCCCGGGTTACAGCCCCTGCTCAAATGTGAGGAATGCCCACTAAGGGGTGGAAGCTAGGTGCATGGTCATAGTAGACACTGCTCCTGTGGAACGGGCCCCCTTGGTCATCAGACCACCTTCCACCGAGCAGCTGTATGTGCCATTATGATTAACAATCAACACGTTTTCCTGGTAGATGAGACCACACTGGCCAATTTCCACCCTCACTCCCTATCCCACACCTCCTAAGGACTGGCAGGATTTGTGACCTTGTGGCTCCTTCACCGCTTCGCTTCAGAAGATGGCTTCCCTTTAGTATGGTGGGTGTGCTTTAGAAAGTTTAAGTCTTGAATGTAAAAATAAATTAACTTTAACAATTTCCAAGTTGTTAATTCCTAGGGTCCATTTGGTGTTGTATCTGAGTTTTGGAGGTTTTTGTTTGTTTTAAACCTGACAGCATCACCTCAGTTTCTAATCTGAATAGTCAGGAAAATACGAGCAGGGGACTCCTCAGTTGCTAACTAGTATAGTATGGGGCTACATTTCTGTCATTTTGAGTCAAACCCACCGAGAATTTTAATAATTCTTTGTTCACATAAAAAGAAAAAAATGCTAGTACTCTCTTATCTTTATATTTTGATTATCATAGAAAGGATCATAACAGGGTATAGTCATTCATTTGGCAAATATTTATTATGCAACTATTATATGCTATACCAGGCACTATATGAGGTACTATATAAAGTAATGATTATTAGATACAGGGGCAGAGAAAATATGGTTGTTTATAGCTCTAAATTTAAGAATGTGGAATGTGACCACTACTTAAGTTTGGAAATCCTGGTGGCTTATTGTTACAAACTACGGCTGCTAACCAAAAGGTTGGCACTTTGAATCCACCAGGTGCTCCTTGGAAACTCTGTGGGGCAGTTCTACTCTGTCCTATAGGGTTGCTATGAGTCAGAATAGACTTGATTGGCAACGGGTTTTTTTTTTTACATAAGTTTGGAATTTCCTTCTGTCCATTTGCTATCTGTTCCCTTGGGAAAAAAACTTCCCCGGTAGGAAGTGATAATCAAGATAGAAAATGTTCATTAGCGTAAATTCCAACTTTATAACTTAATAAGCAAGAAAGAAATAGAAATGTCTCTAACTAGGGTGGGGCCATTTGAAAGTTCTTCATAAACTCATAAAAAGACATAACCGTCAGTTTTCTTAAGGGTCTGGAAATGAATCCATTATATGAAAATGACTCTTACTAGCAAGACCAAGTAATGATTTGCATTATAAGCTAATAAAATGGGGGATTAGGCATATTTGTACAATAGGTCTTTTTTTACTCACTTTTATACAGATTCTCTCCCATTCCTGCTTAAATGAACTTGGAAGATTGTTCACTATTCAGTACTGTTTAAATTATAAGGCACAAATCTGTCATCTGGTTTTTAAATATTTTTCCCTTTTGGCAACGTAGATGACTAATGTCTATCTCCATTCTTTAAGAATACACGAATGTAATGATAGTATAATTTTGAAAAAAAATTAGTTTTTTAATACTTCACATCTAGAGACCTCCTAGCATATTAGAAAATATAATATTCTTCAAAAAAATACACTTTGCTAGCCTTCCTGAACACTCATACTTCAATGAATTGTACTTGTCTTTTCTGTTCAAAAAGTGCTACAAGGCCTCTCACAAGAGCGAATGCCCTGGAGAAGACTTCATGGAAGTCTGTCTACTTTTCATGGTACCGCCTGGCGAAAGTTACAGCATAACCTCCAGTGACGCTAGTTCACTGTATCCAAAAACCACTTCCAATTTAAGAATATGATAAAAAAGAGGTTATCCTATCAACAAAGGGAACCCAGGAAGTCTTGTTTCATCCTGATGTTACACTCCTACATTTTATATCTAAAAAAAAGAAGAATGCTAATATTTGAGAGACGAATTTTGCTTTTACAATGTCCCTCTATGCGAAATATCTGCTTGTTTCAATTCGAGGTAGAAGAAAACTTTTTATATGTTTTCAATTTCTTATTTCTCTGAAATTGAGTGCCTAAATCTTAGCAATTTAGCAATAATTTTTTCTATTAAGGCAAATGTTAAAACTAGAAGTTTGTTCTATTGATAAGAAGTGATAATCCTCTAAAATTTCATTAAAAGCTCTTGATTTTTCTTTCCTGCTACTATCTGATAAGAAACAGCCTTCCTGATTTTTGCTTCCTTTTAATGACGAGAATCCTACCTCTACTTGTGGCAGTTTTCAAAACACGGACTATTAGGTAATGAGCCTACAACTTACTTTCCAAGGAAACTGCTTGAGAGCTCCTGTACCTAAGTCAGTTCTGCTCATTCCCCTCCCTGCCCTTCAAATTGTGTGTTAAACCACCAGGAGTGAATTCCCGCAGAGTAATTTAAACCACATGTGAGGTAGAGGATTTAGAAACGGGGCCAACTGGGGGACCCACCTGCTGTCACTAAGTTTTCCTAGTACTTTCTAGATGCTACTGCAGGATTACAGGAGTGATTCACTCCTCTGCTTGTCTCCTGGTAGCTAAATGGGAATACTGGAGAGCTGCCAGAAGGGTAGGTAGCCAACCTGCTTGCCCTTGATTTTGCCTGCCAGCTTCTTAATAAAAGAAGTAGGGTCAAGTAAGTGAAATCATAAACTGAGGACAGTATTCTGAGAACGCAAAGGCAGTTAATGTCCTTCCACGCCTCAGATGGCTGGCAACCCTTGGCAGAGTCATCTATGATTTGTGGCACCTGACCCTTCCACTGTGACTGTTATCTGTGTATTCACTAGAAACATATTTACAGAATCTATTAGCAAAGATGCCTTGTGTGTGATTACCCAATTGTCATGGACACACTAGGATGCTGATACAGTTCCTATTCACAAAAGAAAAACTGCACTGAACTGCACACAGGATTGGTTTAAAGCAGGGGTCCTCAATCAATAGATCAAGATTTTAGATTACCGAAGCCATGCCCCCCCTCCCTCCCCACCCCCAGACTGCATTCACACCTCCCCCGTCCAATCACAAGAGGGAAGCTCTCTCATTTATTCCCTTGGACCCTTAAGAATTCTTAATAAAGTTAAGTATAACCAGCTGTAAGAATTATCCAACGAGATGGGCCTGTTTCGACTAGACTCCACCTCACAAACTATTGGAAGAGAGCACCACTTGCTTAAACCAGTTAGTATTTATATAGTACTTAGTATCAGCAAAGTACTTCCTCCTCATTTGAAATTTATTAGTTACAAATGTAGACAGGTTGCATGCTGATTTTCCTTAATCCTTATGGAATCAAATCTAAAGAATTGTTTTTAAATCCTCTCTGAGGCAAGTGAAAATGACAGCGCTGGCTATTAAAAAGTTTACTGGATAGTTTAAAAAGTAGCATCCTCCTCTTCTTCCCTCCAAAAAAAAAAAAAAAACGGAGGCATTGAAGTTCTCCGTGCCTGAAAATTCCTCTTTATATCCTATGTTGGCTTTCACATTACTATTAACTGTGAAGGGAACCAAATCAAACTCAGTAGGAGAAAATAGTGGTCATGGATTAAAATAAAAGAGACCATAACCCAAAGCCATTACCCTGTCTCCCAAATGAAGAGGTATTCTAAGGAAATAAAAATGACAGTCACACCAGATAATACGAGGTGTCCTGACTTGATAGCAACCGCCGGCGACCCTCGAGAACTGCTTGGGGGTTAAATGCTCTGAGAAATCATTGCTGAGATCCTGATGACCTGGGCGAGGCGGCGCCCAGAGGCCTGCGCTGTGGGCCGCTGGGGCCTGGAGAGCAGAGGCAAGAGGCCGGGCGAGGCGCTGAGGGGCCTGGAGGATCGCCGCGCCAGGCCCGAGGCCCGCCGGGCAGCACCGCGGCCGAGGAAGCCCCGGC